CTATGACATACAACTATCTACTGGGGCTTTGGGGAGAAAAAGGGAAAAAAATGAGGAGGATGGGCAACAGATGTTAGCTCAGAGCCAGTCTTCCTCGGCAAAAAGAGGAGGATTAGCACGGATGTTAGCTCAGGGCTGATCTTCCTCACAAAATAAAAATATATATATGTGTATAAAGTTTGACAGCATGCAAAACTAAATTATATTATTTAGTGATACATGCGTAGGTAGCAATTATTTTTAAAAGCAAAGAACTAATAAAAAGCATGATAGTGGTTACTTTCAGAGGGGAAGAAAAGGGGTTGTCAGGGGCTTATTGGAGCAGGACAGGCACACAATTTAAGGGGGAACCAAAAAAACTAAGTAATCAAGATAAATCTTATCTTAATGCAATATTTTTTAAATGTCCAAATTAATGCAAAAATCCATGATGAAGAAAATGTCAAAATTTTAACTAAAGACAAGATCCATGGGGAGCTGGAAGTATTCTTTTTCTTGACCTGGGTGGTGTGTTATACACATGTTTGTGTTTGTTTTTATTGGGCTGTTTATTTAAGTTCAGTGCATTTTTCTGTACATGGATTATATTTCAAAAAATTGCAAAAGGTGGTTAAAGATGGACACAAGAAGGCTCTCATTTCTTGTGATCTTTGCTTAAGTCCCATATTTCTGTCCTGTACTGAACATTTCTCCTGGTTTGTTTTAAATTCTAACATTTCTTTTATACAACAGCACTTACAGTGCCAGATAAAATCTCCAGTGATTTTGACACTCAGTTTAGATTGTTCATCAGAAAGTTGGCTCTGTGTTTGCCTACATTTTGGCATCCAAATGTTCAATTTAACTCCAGGTACTGACCTGCCTTATGGCTCTGGTTCATACCCGAGCAATTAACCTTCATTATAATAGTTGGTTCACATTAGAACAATTATCTAGTTGATTGCTCTAGTGTAAATGTAGTCATGAACATGCTATGTTTTTTCATGTTTTTTAAGGTTTTTTCCATACCTTACCCCCACTCGACCCCCAGGTGGTCACAGAAATTTGCCTTGTCTTCATATGAAGTATTAATAAATCTAGATCAGTATTTTATAAAATGTTTGATGTTAAGATTTATATGTGAATCAGCAAATTTGTTTTCAGAGAATAAGACAGATTAAATAATCCATTATTGTTGACTTGTGTTGACACAAGAACTTCTTTGGCTGCTTTCAGTTCTTGATGGTGCTTGAATTACTAAAGATTATTACACTATTACAAGTAGAATATAGGTTTGTAAAAATAAAGTTGGAAAATAAACTAATGAATGATATTTAGTACTTGAGATTACATATTTCCTCAGAATGTAAAACTTATATTTGGCTAGATAGAAATCTGGAGGGAAGAAAAAACTGGATAAGTCATCCAGAATCTTGATGGTTTGTTTTGTTTTGTTAATTGGTCTGCTTTTTATTCATATTTCCTTGAATTTGAACAATCTAAGGGTTTCAGGTTGGCAGCTCTTTCCATATATTTTTAAAGGAAATATAAATGATAGTTTCATAGTTAACATTCCTTCATGGAAATAAGAAAGCTATGTGAATATTCCTGAAAGTTCTTTAAACGTCAAGGGTAGACAGTCAACTAGTAGATGCTCATTTCAGTAAAGTCTTAAATGTTATTTTTTAAAATATCTTTATTATAAGTATCGTATGTTTATTCAAAAAATTTCAGCAATACACTTTTACTTTATAAATGTTTGTAAAAAATAACCATATTCCATTCAAGAAATATTCATTGATCTACAGTGTGCCAGACACTAAAATAAACATGATTATAAAGTGACATTAAAATAGACAAGGTCTCTGACCTCACAGAATTTATAGAAGAGTCTTCTAATGATGTCTTCTCATGTTTGAAAGTTTAGTAACCAAATTTTTAAATATCAAACAAAATACCACTTTCCCCACAAAGTAACTGCTCTTGATAAATTACAGTGTAACCTTCCAGACCACTTTTGTAGTATGTAAACATATTTAATTTAAAAAAAAAATAGAACTCTCTATAAAACATTCATAAACATATATCTCTTTGAAGCTTTCCATCTTTTTACATATATATCTATGCTATTTTTTAAGACTACATAATATTCAACTATATGAATGAACCATAGCTTATTTGCTCCTTCTTGGTGGACATTTAACTAGATTCTAGTTTTTCACTCTATGAATGGTGCTACAATGAACATCTTTTACTTGTAGAAATTTAGAGCCATTAGTGTGTTTTTTAAATGCTTAAAACAACTTTTTTCTCTTTCACTTTACAAAGAATTATGAGAACTGCCATTTTGGTAAGAATTACAAAAATAACTCCTACACATAGAGACTTTTCAGACCAGATTACATAATGAGAAGTTATTACCTGTCTGTTGTGTGTTGGTTCTACTTGGAAAGAAATTCCACATGAATGCTAGACAGGATGCACATGAGTTTTCCTACCTCTGGTGGCAACTTTGCTTCTTAGGAATTTTATGTCAGGTGGATAGTGTCAACCACTCTACTCCAAACTGGATTGATAAGATAGTCAAGAAAATTGATTAGCTTAGATGACCAATCTTCATTTAGTAAAAGGCAAGAAATGAAGTACAAGAAAACCAAATCCAAACTAAATTTGCCAGTTTTATTTTCCTTTTCACTAACTTCCTCTGTTGTTAGGCAGAATCCGTGGCCTTTCTTACTTCAGTTCTCTACTTATGAGAAAATGATAGTTTTTGGTTATGAATCTAAACTAGTCCAATTATAATCTAGAGATAAACCATTTTTCTTAAAATATTGTCATTATATGTTATGTATAGAATTTCTACGTATTATACCTATTGACTATTCAGAATCCAGATGGTTTTTCTTTATGTTCTTCTAAATAATATTGGAATTTCAAGCTATTTAGAAAGTTTTTATTTGAGTGTTTTTCATTCACGTACAGTTTGCAAATAGGAGACTTTGCCATAGAATTTTGGAACTTAGGAGTTTATTTACTAAGAAAACAACAACAACAAACAACTCCTTTTCATTCTGCCATTGTTTTGGCATAACAGTCATAGATTTGACTTTTAGCTCTTTGTACGAAAGCATTTTAAAAACCAAACCTGTTTTGCCTTATAAATAAGGGGTACCTGGGAAGGCAGCTTCAAGTTAATATATACCATCAGCACAAAAATTGTAAAATTCATTGCTATGTGGAATTCACTTTATTTTTCTACATTCTCCAAGGCGCTTTGGGAAGCCAGAATTAATGTAGCTAAAGATGCTGTTTAACAGCTTGGCCTGCAGTCTCTCTGTGCTCTTGCCCTTTGAGTTGATTTGGTAATTTTGTAAAGACTAAGATGTGTTAATGGTTTATTTAACTTGTTTGTTGTGGAAATAACTCTCTCGTTTTTCATTTCACAGTAGAATGAACATTTATTCTTGATTATTTGTAATTTATTGAATAAAAAATACTAGATTTAGCATTTACAATTAAGCAGAAGTTAAAATGTGGTAATTGTTGAAAATTGAAAATTAGACGGCTGTCCCATTTTAAATTGATGGGTGCAAAGTGTGTTTCTTTCTCTTAGGTGACTGTTCCATCAAATACAATATCTGTGAATGGAAGGTCAGGACTCAGCCATTCCATGTCCCCTGATGCCCAGGACGGCTGTTAAACGTTGCCGTGCCATACTACTCTTCACCCCTCCACTTCACAGAACAGCTTCGTACTAATGGAGAATGTTGGCAAATGTATATTCAGATGTACACTAATATATTATCTATAGAAGTGTAAGAATTTGTGCTGTGGCTTTGAATGCCAAGAGAAAGAATTACTAGAATTTGTAATTTATAATAATACTTTTGGCCTTTTTGCCTTAAGAGCTGAATATGCTGCTTTAGAACTTGAAGACAAGGTGTTAATGGCTTTCATTTTTTTCAAATGAGATATAGTCACCTTTTGTTGATTCCACTTACTTATTGACACCTTCTCTACAGTGGTGACTTAGACAAAAGGATAAATTAAGATTCATAGACTTATATTTGAATGACATATGAATAACCAGGCAAACATAGATTGACATTGGCTGCCTCAATGTCACAGTTTAATTGGAAACGTTTATAAGTTTTGTTAAAACCTGTTTTGTGCTGAAAGTATGATCTAGAAAACTAATTATATCAAGTAAGTATATTCAGTTCAACAGTTAATTTCAGTGATGAATCACTTAGTGTGCAAGTCTTATCTTGCGTGTTCTTTATGTAATCACAAGATCAGTGTCAAATTTATGGGAAGCTCATAGTATTTTAATATTTTATCAACATGGAACACTTGGTTTTTTAATCTTTAGAAGTTCAATTGCACAAACAGAATTTTAAATATTTTCTGTATATAATTATGACATTATTGTCACACAGATATTACACATTTTATGTGCCAGAAGCCTTAAAAATCTTCCTGTGAAAATGTTGATATATTGTGACAACTGTTTCACATTCAATATGTAGAGAAGAATAGGGGTTAGTTTATGTCCATATTGGAAAACTTTAAAGACTACTTGGAGGTTCCAGAAATCCTGGTTTTAATTAAAGTAAAATGATAAAGTCAGTATGTAGTTCAGATGCTAATATTCTAAATAATAATATATATTTACATTAAAGCTAAAACTGTTAAGCAAAACAATGCCTAATTTGTTGGCTTATAACTGTTCTGGGGTCTAGAGCTTGTTGATGTTCTATTTCTACTTGAAGAATTTAATTGCTCACTTATTCTAAAAGTTTTGTCAAACAAGCTGATGTTAAGCTGGTTTTCATTAAAGCTACTGGGTTATCTGCCTCTTTGGAAAATGTGTTGATTTTTTTGCCCTATTTAATAAAAGCAAGTTATATATTTGGGATGCTTTTTCTTTAATGCAGTTTGTGTCAACCAGCATATTTGTGTCCTTCACCTCATGACCACATCTCTATCAGCCAGCAAACAAACAAGTATTAGTAAGGTCTGCCATTTACCATGGCTCCCCATGTACATTTAAGCCAAGGCATTCCAACTCCAAAATGCATATCTTAGCATGTAAAATGCCTGGCATAGTTCCTGACACATGGCAAATGCACATGAATTGTTAAATGTTGTTGCTATTTCTTTGAGTCAGACTTGGAGAGACCTGTATATAAGGAAGCTTAAATTATGTCATTATAAACCAGTATAAAAGGACTGGCTTTTTGAAAAATTGTGTTTATATAATTGATTTTCCTCTTGGGGAGAAAAAACATTGGATCCCTACCTCAAACCATAAATATATCTGAGTTGGATTAAAGACACCTTTTAAAAGTAATATTTTAAAACTTAGATGAATATATTCAACATTCTTTCAGACCTCAGCATGGAAAAAATTATTTAAATAGACACAAAGGCACATAAGTACAGTCATAAAAAATAGATATGATAAATTTAAATATATTAAAATTTAAAACTTATGATGTACATTCAGTACTATAAAAGTGAAAAAATAAGCCACAAGAAGATGTTTTTAATATATATAAGGGTTAATTTATAAAAATGTAAAAATTCCTATAATAGTAGAAATATACACACACTGAAAAAACAAATGTATTGCTTACAAGAGGAAATCTGAACGGCCACAAACATATGGCAAAAGTACTCTTTGCTAATAATCAAGGAAATACAAGTTAAAAACACAAAGTACCACATCACACCCATCAAATTTTGATGCAAAAATGTGTTAAAAGAGCAAGAGTTGTCAAGGACAATGGAGCAATGGGACCTCTTCTACTGTTGGTAGGAAAATACATTGGCATCAAATTTGCAATATCTAGTAAAATTAAAGATCTCTTACCATGTTACCTTAAGGAAGTACTTATGCACGTGCATAAAAAGACATATACAAAAGTGTTCGTGGCAGCTTGTGTATAACAGCAGAAAGGAATCCTAACCGGCACTCAACAATGGTAGTGTATTGTGACAGACTTCTGTACAACAGTCAAAATGTACAAACTAGAGCTATGCATGAAAACATGGATACATCTCAAAAATAATGAGCAAGAAAAGCAAATTGGGGAACAATGTGTGTTGTATGATAGTAGTTATATATAGTAAAAATATGATACTATTTATTATGGCTGTGTACATAGAAAAAATAAAATACACAGGTTTTACAGTGGGAACCAAGAAATGAAGATTGGATTGGGGAGATTTACAGGAGGCATCAATTGTGTTTGTAGTATTTTATTTTATAAACTTATTTGAAAACAAGTACTTATTTTATTCCAGATTTTAGCATACTTGAAATAGTTTATAATTAAAAATTTTTTTTTGATGTTTTATTTGTTTATTTTTTTTTGTGAGGGAGATCAGCCCTGAGCTAACATCCATGCTAATCCTCCTCTTGCTGAGGATGACCGGCTCCGAGCCAACATCTATCGCCAATCCTCCTCCCTTTTCTCCCCAAAGCCCCAGTATATAGTTGTATGTCATAGTTGCACATCCTTCTAGTTGCTGCGTGTGGGATGCGGCCTCAGCATGGCCGGAGAAGCGGTGCGTGGGTGCGAGCCCAGGACGGAACCCGGGCCGCCGGCGGTGGAGCCCGAGCACTTAACCGCTAAGCCACAGGCCAGCCCGTATAATTAAAATATTTTTAAAGATCACATAGGACTCGGGGGTATGTACATGAACCATTAATACACACACATTCTGAAAAAGTTGCCTTATCCACATAATTTCAGGAGAAAAACACATGCTACTCTCTCAATTGGGAAAGAGATTTATGGCAAGTAGTTTTCACCAGTCATATCTCAAATAATAGCAAAATTAAGATACAAGAATGATCTAGAAACTTGATTTTCGTATTTAATTTTTGGCATCTAGGCGTTTTGCTTTTCCTTTTTTTCCCCCATCAAGTTATTTCTTTATAGTACATATTTTAAAATTCTCGAGATTCTATGTAAATCGTAGGGTATGAAATTAAATACCCTCTTTTCTGTCTCCAGCATCCCAGTCCCCTCTCCAGAGATAACCGCTGTGAACGGTTTGATGTGAATCTCTATGTAGATGTACTGTTTATATCCAATACGTATCTATAGGTTTGTTTTGGGCTTTGATGTTTTCTGGGGTGATGGTGTTACTGTTTTTTTTTTAACAATAAAAGAAATCAAAATCTAATACTCTTTAGTAACTTGCCTTTTACACCGGTGGTGTTCTGGAATCGCTTGTCTTTTTGCACAAAGAGATCTACTATATCATATTTCAGTTTCCCATTCTTATACTATTTGTTTCTTGCTGTGGTACACAGTTCTGGCTAGAGTCAATATACTTGGGTTCAATCACAGGTCTGCCACTTACAAGTCATGGGATCTTGGGCAAATCACTTATTTTCTTAGGTCCTTCATTTTCACCTCTGAAAAAATGAATTAATAATATACCCTCCTCGTGGGGGTGGTTGTAAGGATTAAATGAATTTTAAAAGTGTTTGGCACATAATTCATTTTAAAAAGCTGCCTATTTTTAATACTACTATTAGAGAACAGGTATTATTTATTTAATATACTCCCCACCCTTCTGAAGAGTGACCCTCCCTCCCATTTGAAGGCCAGATCTGGCCTTGGCCACCAGGCCTGGGAACAGAATCCACACTCTGCCAGCTAATCCAAGTTCTTGAACGAGACCAGTCTTTTTCCTGAGACCTAAAGTTGCCTATAGTTGAAACTGGAAGAGTCCCAGTTGATACAGTTATTTGTCTAATGCCAGTTCATTTTCTACCCACTACCGGTAGAGACAGTAAATACAAAAAGAGCTAAGACTCAAACTCATCATTTTTACTATCTATTGACTTTGATAAATGACTTGAAAGAAAAGGGAACTTGCAATTAGAGGTCACAATGAAGATTTCCACAGACAGAGGTTTTTTTCTGAGGTTCTTTTTGATGTAAAAATAGCTCATTTATTTGGAGCTTTAGAGTTTACACAGAACTTTTATGTTATTTGATCCACATATGGAACAAAAAAGTATACAAAGAGATTGCTACTTTGCAAAGGTCACACAACCAGACAAGTGTCAGAATCCCAATCTGATTCCCAGTCTGCTCTTTCCAATGGCCAGACTTTGCAAATGATGAAGAAAATGGTGCTAGATTTCAAGGGACACCAAAATAGTAACCTGCTTATTCTGGATCTTCAGTTGGTCTTCTTTTTCTCTTAAATGTCACCACTTTCCTGCAAGTTTTCATCCTTAACACCTCAGACTGTTCACATGGATAGATGTATTTTGTTTATGGCGAGAAAAAAATGCCACCATGTGCTCCCTCAAATGAAGTTTTCTACAGGTATTTCAAGAGGAATTGTGAAACGTTCTGGAAATTTGTGTAGAACTGCTGACATTTCTGCTTCACAAACTGGAGAAATTCATTTGGAAGTCTTGCAAATTACTCATCTTGGAGAAGAAAAAGTGCTACAATTCCAAATAAATTTGTAGTTTTCAAAGCAAGCAACTTGTTTACTTCCCAATTTGTTTTTATGTTCCTACCCACCCCTTGTGGTAGATTATAGTGATTGCCCCAATTGTTTACCTCACCTGCATCCACGCCTTTTGCCATGTGACTTTGCATTTCCTCTCACTAAAGAGACAGAGCCTATTTTCCCACCCACAGAAGCAGGTTTTGTGACCAGTAGAATGAAGTGAAAATGATGCTATGCCAGTTCTGAGACTAGGCCTCAAAGGTTTGCATGTTTTTGCTTGCTCTCTCTGTGCCTGAAATGTTGTTGTGAGAAAGACATCTCTGAGTTACCTGAATGGTCCTTAGAAAAGGATGAGGGGGGCATGGAGCAGAACTTGCAACTGAGGCCAGCCTAGAGCATTCTACAGACATGAGCAAGTTCAGCCAAGATCACATAGCCACGCCCCAGCTGACTCTGATGTATGAGCGATGAATGCTTACCCCCCTTTTATGGCTGATTGTTATACAGCATGAATATGGCAATAGATGTTATACACCCTCTTAAACTCATCGAAGGGGAGGAAGACTATCCTCTACACTCTCTGGATCCTTTCTGGCTGGGCTACAAATTAAATTGACATGAGACCAAGTAGCCCGAAAAAAATCAAAAAAGCTTTATAACATGTTGTCAGGGAAGAGAAAGAAGCCCCCTCCACCTTTTCCCTTAAGGTTCTTATGGCTGGCCAAATAATCAAAAGACAGGTTAGCAGGAGAAAATAATACCAAGTTTAATAACATGTATACATGAGAGAATCCAGGGAAACTGAGTTTCTCAACAAAATGGTGGAGGTTCTCATCTTAAATACTATCTTCAGCTAAAGACAAAGGAGGATGTTGGGGGTGGGAGGAGTCAGTTATGGGAGATTACCAGAAAAGCACAGTAAACAAGAGTAAGGTTATTATGCAGATTTAAGGCCTCACCTTCCACATTGATATGTTTCTTGAGATAAGGTCATCCCCCCTCTTCCCAGTACAGAGAGGGAGATACCTTTACAAATGGCGATTTCCCTTATAAATGTAAATGTTTGTCTGACAACCCTTTACAGGGCCACCTAGAGAATGTGGCCTGGGAGAGACAGAATTTTTGATAAGATGGGCTTGTTGGTGCCTTTCCCATTGTAGCGTCTATTTTACATTACAGTACAGCCATCATATGGTAGTGGCTCCTTCCCGAAACAGGCCTTCTATGTTAAATTCTTTAGGCAGTTTGGGGAAGGTCAAATGTCAGAGGAAATAATCAAGGTAAAGAGATATATTTCGAGGTGGTCAATTTTGATCTCCCACAATGTATACATGGGAGAAACCAGGGAAACTGAGTTTCTCTACAAATGGTGGCTATTTTCACCTTAAATATCATATTCAGGTAGACAAAGGAAGATGTTGGGGGT